GTGCAGGTCGCCCAGCCTCCCTCTGGCCAGCAGCTTCAGTCATTCCCTGTGGTCAGGGAGGAGGCAGGATCCCTATATCTGCCTGATGGTTTTATTTTTATTTTTAATTTTTTTTCTCTTCCTCCTTTACTCTTGGGTCAAAACATTATTCCTGCTTGCTGGATTTTAGTCTGACTTGTGTTTTAGAGGTCTGGGAGGGGACTGGCAGGCAGCATCCACAGGCACATATCTGGGTTTTCTCCTCAGACCCTTCCTTCCCACCTCCAGCCAGGTGATCCTGTGTTTAGGTTGTTCAGCTTCACAATGGGTCTTTTCCAGTCTGTGAATTCTGCATGCCTAGGGGCTGAGTGCAAGAGGACCCCTCTGCGTGGAATTCAGTAGCCCTTGGATGATGCTGGGAGGAAGCCCCAAGTGCAGAGCTCAGTGGTGTTTGTGGGGCTCTGAGAAGGTGCCTGCTCCAGCACTACTCCAGTGTCTTCCCCAGCCTGGATCCCACTTGTGACAGCCACTGGAAGCCCCTGCAGTTCTGTCTCATGGCTCCTCAGAGCTTGGTTATAGGTCCTAGCAAATCAGTTCCTAGGGCTTAGTAGTGCTGACTCAGTCTCTGTCCTCTGAGTGATTCTCTGGCTTGTGTTTTCCTTAGCACTGTCACTGGGGAGGCCCTGTCATGTAGATGTCTAACTTCGTGGGCTCTGTGTCCTACTGAGAGTTAGGCCAACAGCTCTGCACAGGAGTTGCCTGTTTAGTGATAGGCAGCTAGTAGCAGCTGCCCTGTGCTTCTTCCCTCAGGGCAACTTGTACTGTGGTGGCCTTTTTGCCAGACCTGGCTGCAAGTAGCACCTAGATCAAAAAGCAGCTGTGCTGCTTTTCCGAATGCCCGTTAGTGGATTTTGTCCAATGGGCCTCACCTTCGAGTTGCCCTCCCGTGGGTGGGATTTGCATCTCTCCACGCTCATACCTCGGACTCTGGTGTCTTCACCGAGTACTGCTGTCTCCAGCACACATGATGTAACTCTGCCTCTCTTAGGATCTTTGCTGACTCTTCTTTGGTTTTCAATTTGTGTTTCAGTTTGGACAGTTTCTACTGGTCTGATTTTGGGTTTACTGACCCTATCTCCTGAGAGCCCTAGTCTGCTGTTTCCCTTTGCCAGTCAGTTTTTAATTGGAGGTGTTGTGTTGCTCAGTTGTGGAATATATATTTGATTCTTTTTAAAAATTGTTCTTATTATTGCAGTTACTTGGATTTTTCCTTCCTATTTATTTGTATTTCTGTCTGTTTTATCTATCCTATAATAGTTATCATAAAACACTTGCTGGTTAACTCCAATATTTGGAGAAATTCCTGCTTTTCAGAGATTCATCTGTTTATTACCTCAATTTTACGTGGATTTAAAAACATCTAGATTTCATTTAAGTGTGGTAGCAACAGCTTGTGCTTGTAGGAGTCAGGCTCCTACCCTTTCAACTTGGAAATAGAATTTGTTTTTGTGTGACTCCCTGTATAATGTGCAGGTTATGCAGGATAGATAGAGCAAAAGCATTAAAGAGAGAAGAGATCAGTATGATGTGTTTCTTACTTGCTAGTTCACTTTGTAAATGCTGGGTCGGGATAGGCTAAGGGTCCTGGCTACTTGAAGAGTTGCTATGTTGCTATTGTGCCTCAGTACGTGTGGTTACGATCCATGCTGTTTAGCGTAAGTAAAGCTTGTGTTACTTACTGTGACCTCACAGAATCTGTGGATTTCTCCGTGTTCTGACTTTGACATATAAGTAGCTAAGGGCATTATAAATACATTATTTGGTGACAAACTTTTAGCATCATCCCTTAAAATGCCATTTCGTACACATTCATCATGTTTGCAATGTAGTATTTGACAGTTTTTCTCTTAAAGATAATGAAATATTAACAGGTAAATGTAAACATTTATGTTTGCTATATTAATGTTAGTGGGCCCTTGAAGTTGCCTCCTATCATGATTATGAATCTAGGCCTGTAATTGTATTTTATTGTATTTTCTCAACTTCTTTGTGCAGTGTACTTTTTCTTTTTCTTTTTTTCTTGCCAGGCAAGCACTTACTCCACTAGCTATCTCCCCAGCCCAGTGTACTTTTCTCAATAGTGTTGTTTTCTATTTTTAAGAACACGGCTTGATGAACTGAGAATGTTCTTAGAGAATGAGACCTGGGAACTTTGTCCTGTTAAGTCGAATTTCAGTATCCTCCAACTTCATGTAAGTTTTTCTTAAGAAAAAAAAAATCTGTCTTTTAATTACCTTTGTATCTTTTTTTTTTCTTTTTACAGGTAAATGAGAACATTCATAAAATCATCAAATTAAAGAACAGTGTCTTATCTTTGTTTTTCTTTTGGTACTGCGAATTGAACACTGGACCTTATGCTTGCCAAGCAGGCGCCGTGCCACTGAGCTGTATCGCCCGCCCCTTATCTTCTATCTAGCAAGCCCTTTTATGAGAATGATCTTTTATGAGTATGAAAAATCTCTTTACAAAATTCAGTTTACACGCTTCAGAAAAACTTTTGCTTAAAAAGAGTTACAGTTAAATTTGTATTTCTGTCTTTCAAATTCAAAAGATGGTCTACTGCTATATTTAGATGTTTTAGAAGTTTAATCAGTGTATTTTGGAACTGTTTGATAAAAATATTTACAGAACTTAGAAATGTAAATTCATTTCTTGAAGGGACTAATAGGCCCTTGAATTATACTACAATTCATTAACTTGTCTGTATTGAGAAAATGTCACAGAAATAAGAGACACTAAGAGTTTTCTTTTTTCTTAAATTCTTATAGAATAAGCCATCTGTGAAAAAAGTCTTTAGGTAGTTTGATTTTTTTTTTTCCTTTGAAATACATTATAAATAAGCATGCCTGTGTGGAAGATCATGTTCTACAAACCAAGCATCTAATTGTAATGTGTATATTTAGAACTATGTTTTGATAGTACAGTGTATTTAGTTTTTGCCTTTGAGAGGCATAACTTTCTAGAAGCAGGTTTCTTAATTTTTTTAATTCTTTAAAAAATATAATTTATTTTTTAATACATAATACATATGTATGTATGTATGTATGTATTTATTTATTTATTTATTTGGTACAGGCTCTCACTACATGGCTCAGATTTGAAGTGATTTTCCTCTCTCAGCCTCCCCAGTCCTGGGATTATAGGCGTGTGCCACCATGCCCAGTTTTTGTGGCCAGCTTGGTGTGGGGCCAGCACAGCATGTGGTCCTGGGGATCAAACCTGGGACCTTGCACTTGGTAGGCAAGTGCTGAAACTGCCACGCTAACTCCCTGTCCCCTGTTAATGTTGGTGAATGTAAGGAATACATGATTAGAGTCAGGTGTGTTGGCACATGCCTGTAGTGCTAGCTCTTGGGAGACTGAGGCAGGAGATTGCCACAAGTTTGAGGCTAGTGTGGGCTACTTAGTAAGTTCAGCACTAGCCTGAATTGCAGAGAAATACCCTGTCTCAAAAAAAAACCCCAAAATAGGATACATAGGATTGTTTTTTGAAGTGGCAGTCTTTCTATTCATATTGCATATTGACTACTTATCCTTGTGACTTCCTAAGATTAAAGAATTAACCCTGGAATATGCTTAATAAATACTTCAAAGACAATAAAAGTAACATTGATCTTACTTAGTAGTACAAAATAACAGTAATAATTGTTAACATTGAATCTACAAATTGTGATGTAAAATATTTCCTTAACATGATTATGAATTGTAAATTCAAAATTGATTTTAGACTGTTCATTTAAATTATCTAACCATCCAGTTCTTTGTGAATGTTTGCGTTCATATTTGGTATAATTGTAAGACAGCTTTTCGAAAGAGGTACGTTGAAATATCCCCATCTAGTAGAATATTATTTCTTTCAAGGTAGTTGCCTTGAAAACTATTCATAATTTGTTATTCATTTGAACATATATTCTTGTAGACATTTAAAAAATTGTCTCAGTTTATATTGGACTCTTATTTAAAATTATACAAATTATGGCATGATTCCTAGGCATTATGATGGATCTCATTTTTTGTGTAGTTGAAATTTAAAAATAAAATGTACATATATCTCATTTAAATCTTTACTCAGCCAATGTACTTTTTAGGAATTTGAGAATGCCGTTTCAATATTAAACATGAAAACACATAGATTTGCAATTAATGTCCTTAGATATGGAAAAATCTTTATTAAATTTTAATAAGCTAGCATATCAGTAGTTTTGCAGTTTGGATGAGCTCTTGAAATTATTTCATCTTTTTCTCTAATTAGCCACTTAATCTAATTAGCTTTCTCTAACTCTATTCAGGTTATATTTATTTAAGTGATCTCATTGCCCATGCTGTCTTTAGGAAAACATTTCAATGTATATTTCTAAGATTATAATTTTAGAAAACTTGAGAGATTTAAAAGTGAATAATTGAAGATCATGACTTTTTAACTTACTCTACGTTTACATTAAAAGAATATGTTTATGTACTTGAATTTTATTGTTGCTCCCAGAAGGTATCTGGTTTCCTTTTTTATTAAGTTTAATGGTATATTTTAGGTATACATACATTCATCATAGCAAATTTGTACCTGTACATGATATGACTTGATTTTTTCCCCAGTTCTCTACCTGTCCTTTAACCTCCCTTCTCTCTGGTTTCCTTTTTAATGTGTAGGAATTTAAGTTCATGGAGCAGTCTCGTTCCCCATCAGTTTCACCTAGCAAGCAGCCTGTTACAACATCATCCAAGACAGTGACTTTGTTTGAACAGTATTGTAATGGTGGAAACCCATTTGAAATTCAGACCAACCACAAAGATGAAGAGACAGAAGATGTCTTGGCTTCTAATGGGGTATGTGGCACTTATAACAGATGTTGTGAAATGCAAGTGAGTTTTTTTAATTTAAAAATGTTCTATCCAATGAGCAAGCTGATTTGTTAGATTTATTTGCTTATCCCCACCTTCCTATGTACTCACATACCTACATCATTTCTACTTATACAGATACAAACCTTACAATATGCCTTGATGATACTGTCCTCCTGAACAATACATTTTGCCTTTATGTATACTTTCTGTTCATACTGTATTACTAATACTGGTCCAGTATAGAGTTCTTACTGAATAGTTATATAATTTACTCTGCAGAGAGATGAGTAAGGAAATAGATGATCTGCATTTTTTTTTTCTCTACTCCATTCCTGAGTAACTAACTGAGTCATTTTTTCCATTTCCCTTTATCTGAGAGAATAATGTTTCCCTTAGTTGCCTGGCAGGACCGATTTTAAGATTAGAAGTATTGTCTTATGAAAAACAATAATAACTCTCCTTAGTGAACAAGATTTGAAGGCAGGTAATGAAGATAACCTTTGTTACTAGTTACCTATGTGGCTTTTGCCCAATTATTTTGTTTGTGAGCCTCAGTTTCCCCGTGTGTGCTGTAAGGAGGATGGTGCATCATATTTTTCCATTAATGCTGGTAATGGCTGTGCTGTTGTCACTGCCCCCCTTTGCTTTGCGTGGATTCCGCTGTCCTTTCCCTTGCTGGTAGGGGCCAAGGTGTGAAAGTTGATAAACCCGTTAGGGAGGTACCTGCCTCTCAAGAGAAAATGTACTTTTTATTTTGATTTTTCCTTAAGAGATCTTAGGTGCTAAGCATCGTCTTTTCATCTGCTTTTGGAACAAAAATTGTGTCATCAATTCTATCATTGAGATAGAACATCAGCATGTGTGTTGTATGCATTTAGAAAACTGAATTAATACTTTCAGAAAGCCAAAAGTGAATACACAACAACTTTATAATGAATTAGCAAGCTGGAAATAAGTATGATGAAATTCCCAAGAGTGTTTTGGGTTAAAAAAAATCAAATGTGTAATTGTTTCCTCATTTGAGATCTAGTAGGTCTATTATTGTTTTGCTCTTGTAAATTGGGGATTTTAGGGTTTTTTTGACATTGACAAGCTTTTACAAATTTTGTTTTTGTTTTGAGCTGGCTAATGTAGGATGATGAAGAAGAAATAGAAAACTTGAAGTTTTATTCTGTTGAAAGACCCCAATGAAGGGGGCCTGCCCCTTAGCTCAGTTCTTTAGGCTGCTTCAACAAAGCAGTCAGGCCCAGCTTGCTGTGGTTCGATCCCCACAACTCAAGCCAGCCAAACCTGCCCTGGAGGCATTCAGAGCAAAAAAAACAAAAAAAAAAAGACCTCAATGAAGGTGTCTCTTTATATCTATCAGTTGAATATCTGTCTATGTTCTCTTTAGTATGAATCTGATGAACAGGAAAAAAGTGCCTATCAAGAGTATGACAGTGACAGCGACGTCCCTGAGGAACTCAAGCGAGATTATGTGGATGAGCAGACAGGGGACGCTCCTGTGAAAAGGTAGTTGTTCTTAGATTGTGTGTGTCTCGGTTCCTTTTCTCTCCTGGGGGGACAAAATACCTGACACCGAAAATAAAGAAAAGGTTTATTTAACTCTCAGTTTATGGAGCTTTCAGTCCATACTCAGCTGGTTCCAAGGCAGAGCGGCACATGGGAGAAGGCAGCAGTTCATGGCGGTGGGAAAGAGCAAAACACAAAGAGCAAATGGGAAGAGTTGTGCCAGCAATGGCTACAGAGCAAGTCTGTCTCCCTTAAGTTGCACTCAGCCTATCTGCCCAGGGTTGGTGGAGCGCTCACACCATAATCCCAGCAGCACTCATACCCATAATCCCATCACTGGATCATGAATTAATCACAGACTCTAGAAGTCCATCCCATGACTGCTTAACACTTTGGGGGGAAAACTAGACATAAACCATAACAGTATGGTATTGGACAGTTTATATTGTGCTTTTAACATATTTTAGGATCTCTTGTAAAGGATGAGAAAAAAACCCAAAAAACTAAAGATTGAAAATTTGGGTGATCATAGCCTAGGAGTTAACGTATTTTAAAGAGGATTGCAGAAAAGCTGAAAATGTACATTTCCCCGTGTAGAAAAGTTTTATTTACTGGGACCTTTTTTGGCATTTTACAAGTCAATTCTTTTGTCAGTTTTGTCATTATTATGTTAAAACCCATATGAATTCATTTTAAATGGTTACTGGAAGCAGTTTTAAAATAGCATTTCTTTGGATTTATACAGTGTGCTTGACTTTTTTTCAGCATGATTCTAATTACTTTTTAAAAAATATGTCAGGGGGCCAGGGAGATGCTCAGTGGAATAATTGTTTCCCTGGCAAGCGCAAGGGCCTGAGTTCAATACCCAGTTCCACCAAAAAAAAAAAAGAAAGAAAAAATGAAAAAAGGCACAAGTTAATGTTCAGGTATTTCAAAAATTGTTAATGAAAATATTAGGTATAATCAAAGAGCTTTTAATTTAAAGATCAGTAGTTTTTATAGAAGAAAACATTGCTAGGTTTGTGAAACCGGTGCACCCTTGGGAGCAGTGACTGCCCCACATAGATCAGAAGCCTCCAGGAGAAAGTCGCTGTTTGCTTTGTACATGCACGTTTTGCTTGAATTCAGGACACAGGAAATCTCCACGTTCTTTCGCAGTGTCTTTTGAATCCTAATTGAGCCCTCTATTAAGGTTGCCTCTTAGTGACTGAATTTTGTTTTATGTTAAATTCTTCTTTTCAAAAATACGATAGAGTTATTGTCACCTCCTACCACTTAAATGGGCCTAATTTTGATGTGTTGAAGTGAATTAATGCTTTTTTCATAATTATACTTTCTAGAAATGGTTGAGTATACTCATCCCTACTCTGAAACCCCAAAATACTCCGTGAATACCTGGTTAGGGCTAAACTAATTTGGAACTTTTTTTAATTTTTAAAAAATTTTTAAAGAGAATACAAAATAGTAAAGAAACAAATTAGAAATGATGCAGAGTTTCACTAAACAAATTAATATGAATTTGACAGTATTTGTTGTATAGAGTAATGTTATTTTCAAATCAGTTGTTCAGCTTACCGGATATATGCATGCAAAATTGGGAAAAGAAAAAAAGTTATAAGAAATTAAGAGAGACCAAATGGCTCAGTAGATTAAAGCACCTGCAAGTAGTCTCAGGGGCTGGGGATTTGATCCCTGGGCCTGCCATGCTGACCGCACCCCTGGGGTACACT